AAGAAAAGATAGTGACTTCATATAATAAATTATGTAACTTACCAGGCAGATGATGTATTCAAGTTGCTTTCTGATTCTCAAACTGTAAAAGAAGCATTACGACATGAATATACTAAATCAACAAAGTTTGTTAATTTATGTGAATACACTAAATAATATCAAGTGATCGACAATGCATTCGACACTCCCACTTATTATGCGATACATTCAGTGTGAATGATGAATTATTACAATCAAGCAATACATAATTTTTATTCTGAATATATAATTAAACCTCTTTTGACGATTAAAAATCTAAGAAAATATTGATGTTCGAACGTACTCTAGCACTGTGTCGATTTACACGGTTACATCATATGCTCACTGCCAAAAATAAACTACTGTAATCGTATGTTACGTAATTGCGTATATCCGGTATAAATTTGCACATAAAAGTTACTTTTGATGAATAAAAAGTGCGAAATACACGAAGCTTTGGCATTCCGCACCGAACGGCACCGGAAAAATTCTAATATGGCGACCAGTCGTATTAATTCGATGTTTCGAGAATTGCAATGTCATGATTTATTGATAGCAAGTTTGTTCAACGTTTGATCTATTCACGAGACATGTCGTGTGAAATTCCAGCACTGATACTCACGGTTATTATGTGATTCGTACGATGCTCATTGTCAAATGGATGAATGACTATCGACCGGCACACGATTAGATATTTCCAGTGTTTATTTACAAGCGCGGGATTTATTTTTGGCACGTAAAAAACAAAACACACTGAATGAATACACTATATAAACCAAAACGCGACACGATCCGATAAAGAATGAACGTAACGCGCGTCGTTCATTGAGCGGTACCAACTTATGCGCTTCAATATTTTGTTTAATTTTTTATGGTTGGTGCAACCATGGATTATGTGCAACTCATGTAAACGACATTTAATCAAGCAAGTAACCGCCAATAGATATCTACATATATCGTATAGATGCTATGGTTCTATGACTGACCGTTACTGATCGTTCGGTATGTAATTGTATGTGATTCAGCATTTTTGGTATAAATACTTTTAAGTACATATTCACGCTACAAGAAACACTTGTAAAGTTATAACAGACAAGGATCCGACGTAAGAATTAAATGCTTACGATCATGCAATGTATACAAGACACTTGTAGACGACGTAACTTTTGTATTTATTCGTGACTATAAAAACAATTAATATAAGGTATATTTTTTTGCATAGTTGTGTGTATTCAAAATCGCCGATGGGATCAAACTTGTAAAAATGAAGCATGTTCTACATTTAGCAAATTGTTTATTTAGAGCTAATATAATCTACACTTCTGTTACATATGACTTATGTGCAATTTTACTTTCATTTCAGCTTCTATCTTGATTTCAAATGACATGAAACGAAAGATGTGACCATTTAATTAATAACGATTAAATAGGTGATGTGATTTAGAACGATAAATAATAATATGTTTGATAATGCTGATGTGTAATGTATATATAATCGTGAATAACTATCATCTAAGAGGAAGTAGGAACATCCGAACGCCAAACTGTGAGTAACCTCGTGTCGCATTTATTATCATTACATTTACGTCGCTTATCAATATCATCAGCTCATCAGTTCAACATAATGATGAATCGGGTAATAATCAATAACTGATTGTATCATGCGAGCCGTGTAACAAAGAGTCAATACACAATCGAATTTTATATTGATGTCTTTCTCGCGTTTTATAAACGTCAAAAGTGGGTATCTGATGTATTGAACATATATTGAAACGCCAATTTTTTTACATATAGAGAGATTGTGATGTTCATTTATTTGCTCTGAGCATATTGTATAAATCGCATAACCGTAAAGCTTGTCGGATAAAATATTGAAATGTGTAAAGTTACTCGGTAATTATCGTTAATTGCAAGGTTATATCGTTCGCTATTCGAGTTGAGCGACTTTGCGCTGCATTCATTCTTTACCATAGCGCGTCGTATTTCGGATTAACTGAAGTTCGGTATTCTTTACTTTGCGTACATGCTAAAAAATGATTTGTGCATTGAAACAAAGATTTGGGAATGTTTATTTGGGTGTCGGGTGATAATCATTCACTAATCTTACAGTGAGTAGTGTACAATTATCGAAAGTATCAGTGTTGCGTTTAAATCTCACATTGGCGTTTATCTCGCATTTTATAACCTTAAAAAAAAAGAATCTGCTTTGCAAATATATGTCGAAAATAATATATATTGTATTGATTATCAGACTATCGATAATTAATCGGTGATAATTATATATTTGTTTCAGAATGTTCCATATAAACTGTGTGATCACAGGCAGTATTAGTATAAGTGAAATTATGATTCTCGAATCGTCAAGTCAATATGATATATCGTGAACGACATATCAGAATTTTTGCGATGCAAATCGGAATAAAGTGTTTTCCGCGTTCTTTATTCGTGAAAAATGAGTTTTATATGTAAATTTTTATCGGGAGTGCCGAGTTATGTAACGCGCGATTATAATAATTCATTATTTGCACTGCAAATATCGTATAATTGTCGGAAGTGTCGAATAAATCATTGATTAATCGATTGTTTAGTGTATTCGTGAAAAAAACAAACGTTAAGGACTTGGTATTTGCGTCGCAACAACTTACGATGCATAAAATAACTGGGATTCAGCATTTATTTGGTAAGTAAATTGATTTCAACATAAGTAAATTTATATTTATTACAATTATTAAATTTGCCATAGACATGGTATTAAAATTTTCACCAACTAAAACTATTTTTCACCGAAATATCGATTATTATGAATCAACAGGAAACAAGTTTGTGTTTTATTCTAGTTTATAACGCTAATTTTTAATAAGAAAAACTAAAAATATAGCAGAAGTAACGAATGTAGCGCGATATTTATAGTTTACATTTATTCCTGGTGCATTTCGGTTTTATTATTGATTTCTCAATCACTTCGCGTGAATCGCGTAATTATCGGGGGTGCCAAAGAAATGATCGGGCGTGCGATGGCAGCAAAGTGTAGCATTCAAATAGTTATCGATAAGAAGTGAGCACAATGTCTATTCGGAAATAAAACGGCGCGACGAGTTTCGCATTTTGCATTCGGTGCCTTCAAGCAAGCGACAGTCAATTTCTGCTCCATTATTATCAAAACATCGTCGAATGAGGAAAGAGGAAGAAAGCACAGAAGTAAGATAACACGGAGTAAAATATTTATCAGCGAACTTATAATTTCGACGGGGGAGGAGGGGGGGAGGGATATCGGCGGAGAATTGCGCAAACATTTCCCGAGGGCACGCGAACAGACACCCGCGTATCTAAACACGATGAATGAAATTATGCGCAAACATCTCGTACGATGACGCCAAGTACGTTGTGTAAATGCTCGAGAGAAAGGGTTAGTGCAAAGTATCAATATGCATAAGGGCTCGAAGCCGTTTCCGAGTCACCCTGTAGATAGACGTAACGAGTCATGAATTATGAATCGCGTTCGCAGAAGAGGTATATTTTCTCTGTTTCCTCATAATTATCTTGCTGGTAAAAGGATGAAAGCGAACTTGATATCGAGAATTAACGAATATTTTGCTGCGATTATTATCGTGCAAATATTTTTCTATAAAGGATGTAACCAGAAGTTTCGCTGATTCAAACTCTTTCGGGTTTTGTTTTTGCAGATTTAATTGCGCATTATTTCAGCTTTTTGCTATTGATTCAAATAATGACAAAATATTGAAAAACAGATAAAATGAAAAGATAAGTAGAAATATTGGTCAATACCTTCAACCTTTTCAATTCAAATAACTACTTTTTAGACATCGTTGATATCGAAACATAAATATACGTTAATGCACTGTAATGTCATGTGATATATTCCCAGGTTTTAATATTTAATACGCTTTAATTGGCGAATGCGTTTTAACGGCAGAACGCGTCGTAACGTTTTTGTTAAACTTGATCGCAATTTAAAATATTTCTCTAAAAATTTCCATTAGCGCATTTTTTCCTTTTAGTCGACATAAAAACAAGGTAAATGTATAAGAACAACTGCAGCTGTAAAATTGAATACAGCAGAAACAAAAATTATATATTATTGTATTTATTATAAACTGTAATAATATTTAATACTTATTGTTTAATCATTTAAATGCAAATATTTATTTATTTTTTATAAATATTGTATTCATTTATTTATTCAATGTTATCATGCAGTAAATTTGTTCTTTATTGAAATATCTTTTATATCTATTGTTGATAAATTAATAATACAAAATTGATTTGCCATATTTGTTTTAAATATTTTTTATTAAATTACTTTTTTTTAAACTTAATGCTAAATTTTTTTATTAATATTATTTTTTATATAATTATTAAATTTTTCCAACTATTGATTCACTTACCAACATTTTTTCTTAACATTTACTTTGTTGATAAATTTTTAGTTATGATATCAGTAGTCAATAAAAGAGAATCTTATCTATTTTGACACAAACTTTAACATACCATCAAGTACTAAAAACAACTCAAATATAAATAACAAATTTGTGTTATTTATAAGTTATTCTTACAAAGGATATAAAAATTTGACATTTAAACAATAATTAAAAGTTAGATTTTCAAATATGAAAAATATTGTAGTATAAAAATTATTAAAAATTATTGAGTATTATATTCACAATAATTTAAAAAACGGAGAGTTTGCAATTGTAACGTCAATAACTATATATAATTGCACCAATTGTAATTAATGTTTCTGTTGCAATCGCACATTTGTAGTCGGTACCACCATCGCAGTCGGTACTGCTACTGTATCAATAAAATTCTGCATTACCAGCCTGATTGCTGGATCGTCTTTGATATAATACGTGTTAGAGGACGCTTAACGTCACGTTATTCAGGTACAGTGATGAGCGCAGGAGCACAATTGTCGTTTTCCGGGTTGCTATCCGGCAGGAGTTCAGTCGGTGCCGGTCGGTCCCGAGAGCCGTTTATGTTCGAACATCCTGCGGGACGCAAAATCTAAGATGGCAACAGACATGTACATTTGATAGGGCGGTCCATTCGATCAGGGAGAAAGCCGACTCGGTTAGAGTATAACGCGCGATAATGAGCGAGTGAAAACAGAAAGAAAGGGAGAGAGAGAGAGAGAGAGCGCGCGAGGGTCGCGATGAACGGATAGGGTACAGGTGCAACATCAATCGCGCATCATCCGTGCGGGAGGGAAGGGTGCGATACACTATCTTCTCGGCACGCGTAATCGCCGAAAGAAGACCAGATCGAGAGTGGCGGACTACTAGTCGTGCTGTGACCGAAATTAGGCGCTCTCGACAGCATGTCCGTGACGAGTGACAACGGGAGATAAAGGTGAGCGATTAGTATTAAACCGTTGCTGCTCGCTTAGGTATTGAACAGTCTCGCAAATTTTCCGGGAATCTTAGTTATCTCGGTAGAAAATAAATTCCGAGCGTTGCCGAAAAAAAAGAGAAATTTGTCGGTCGCACTCGTTGTACTAGTTGCCGAATTATTTATATTAGAAACGAGATAAAGAGTCTAAGAGGTATTATGAAAGTAGTAAGATTTTTCTTTCGAGAAATTAGTAAATGTAAAGTAAAAAGAAAATTGTAGTAAATACATGTAAATTTTACTAATGTATAAAAAATTATTTCTCTTATTTCAACAACAGTAGCAGTTGTATAATCTGTTTTACTGCCAACATCAGCGCAAAGCATTTTACAATGGTGCGTTGAAATATTGGCCATTGTAGCCTGTAGAAAATTCTACAGTTAATAGATTGAATAACAATCAATTGGTAATTGAAAATAATTGTTACACGATAATGGAACATGAGATAAATTAGATGCAAATTGGTGATGATAAAAGATGAAGAACAAAAGGGAGTATGTTGCAGAGTATGTTAAGATAAAGATGAAGCGATTGCGACAATAAAGGTAAAAGTATTATAGAAAGTTTGTGTATCAAATCAGGAAACAATAGGAGAGAGAAAGAGAGAAGGATAAAAGTTTGCAGGGTTGGTGAAAAATAGTCTTAGTTGATTTTAACTTTTAGTATGAATACTTGAGAGGAATATTTTCCTCGATAAGCCCGAGGCACAATAGATTCTTATGATTGAAAATGTTGATTGCAGTTTTTATTTCACAATTCACTAAAGGAAAAATTCATAGATGAAAAAATTATGGATTAGATTGACAAATTAAGATTTTCTACAATAATATAACAATTCTATATTTATTACAATCCGTTGATTATTAAGGATAAAATAATCTTGTTAAGGTTTTGATTACAACTTTTTGCCATGCGTTTTTATCATGAACACTTATAGTGGCATTGCAAAAATACAGTAGAATTTCAAGTGATAAAAAATGTAAAAATTGATGTGTCTATTTTAACATACTCAAAATGCATACGCATACATATGTATTTGACAACAAGCTATTCGTTACGAGATAGGATAATTTCACTGGATTTTATAATTTATGTGAAAGGGCATAATGCGATGCGCAGGACAATGATAAGCGTTTTGCATAAGAATAGGCGATATCGCGGAAGATCGTTTATTACGAGCTCGCCGAAACGATGGCATGGAATTCTCACGAATTCTGTTTACATCCTCTAACGTTTAACTCGAACCTTCCGTGGTTCTACATATCAGGTCGAGGATTTTCGCGTCGGTGTGCGGAGGAGGAAAGGGTTGAAGGAGATCAGCGTAAATTTCACGATTTATTGATCCTCACACAAAGTGCGCGGTATTATTAAGTTCAACTCAAGATTTTGTTTTATCTGATTTATCAGCACTGCCATTAAATTATTCGTTATCTCACGGATATGCAAAATTTTTAATATTTCCGCGAAAATAATTTTAGGGAAATTCTATTAATTTCCTCAGTACAATGTTGGCACTTGTCTCTCGTTTTGTCGGCAATATTAATCCTCCGCGGCGATAATAACTGTCTCTCTCGCAAGAGAGAGAGAGAAATTTATACGTAAATAAATTTAATTAATAAGAAATAAATGTACGTTACGTGAAAAAATATATCCTGTTCTTATAAAATTTGTATTACATCATGATTCTTAATTAAGAATTGAATTTTATTTACAATTTTGTATTTTTTATAATATTGTTTGATCAATATTTGGCGCTTTATATTAATTGATTGGAACACTCTTGCTTCACAAATTTAGAAAGGTAGCTGGAAAGAAAAGAATCAAATCGTGAGAGGCGCGATGGTTATTGACATAAGTCAATAATCCTAAAGTGTGCTATGAATGTTACATTCCATCGGTGTTTTCCCTTTTGATCGTTTCGCCTTCGGGATGTCACCCCTTCAATTCCAGCTCACGTAACGTAAATTAGACCAACTGGTTGGTCGATCGCGCGAAAAGTTTTGCGCCGCGTGTGGCAAACACGTCGCCGAGAGGAAATTGTCGGATTCAGCCGGAAATTGCGAAATTCCTCGATAGCAGCGATCTCGATCGCGGCTTTCGCGACGCGCTGTTCCTGCCTTTCCTTTTACAGGATATACGCATCGCAAGACCTTTCGCGCTATAGCCGAGGATTTCATCTCGCGATTACGTCTCACTTCTCCGATCGGTCGACCTGTTTAATGAAGTCCTCGTCGATACCTTTCATAGAGGTATCGAGTCTTCAGAGAGCAGTCTCCGTCTCTCCGATACCTTATCAGCGCGCTACGGACGCAGCAGTGAGATCATGGCAGGCAGGATTAGAAAATCCTCTTCGCGGAGATAAGTCGAAAAGGAAAGAGAACTCTCTCGAGTCGCGTTTGCTCGCACTATAGTGCGACATATAGCTACTTTTTTGATGAGCTTGCTGAGATCGGAATATTTTTGCGATATATTTGAGAATTTGACGAAAATCTCTTTATATTATTTATTTTTTCATTATTGTCGTAATTTTTGACGTAAAAGTATTCTTTATTTGAATATTTATAATTATCTGCAAAAAAAATGAGATATCTCTAATTAATAAGAATAAATAATTTGTTGCAAAATTCCAAAGATTTCAAAATTAATAGCCTTACTGGCTATTTAATAATTATTTAATAATATTTGATATATTTAAAATCAATCGGCTTAGAATCAGTATTCCATGTAGAAATATTCGACTTAACCTTGGTTTTATGTTTACCGACCTCTTCACGATAGCTAGTATACGATCGATCCGCGTAAAAAAAGCTTTTAAAACGTACTACTGCAGCGAGCGGAAGGTAGTAGATGCTTATATACATCGGCAAAACCACCGATCATAAAACAAGTCGTTTGCATGCGTGTCCTTTTTTATTAGATGTTTCGCGATCGGTGAATCTCTCTCACATATGGTACTTGTACCGTTTGCTTTCGTGTCCATCGAAAAAAATCGATATTTCAAACTGGAGCGCTCAAGATATTTTTATTATTCTTTAGATAGGATAGATATGTTAGAAAGAAATGTATCTTTAAGTTTTTTATGAAAGATATGAAAATATATAAATTAACATACATATAATTTATATTTAGATATAAAAGTGTTTTTAATCTTTAAAATGCAAAGGAAAAATGTGTTTTAATTTTAAACAGTATGGAATTATTCAAAAACTTAGCTTTAAAGAATTCATCCATACAAATAAATTATTAAAGAACCTTTAAAGATTCAAAAACTTGAAAATAACAAAAAATATCTATTTTCGACGGAAATGTTTGAATGTATAACAATATATATTTTAATATTTTTAAATTTATTGAAAAAGTGTTAAATGTATTATATCATTGTAACATATTAGCAGAAAATTGTTAAGTATTTCGAAGTATGTTATGAATGAGTAAAAACGCATTTTAAATTTCCTCAATGCATTTTGTTTTTTTAAGTAAAAATATATCAGAAATCTCGCTGGAAAAGATTTCATCTAGTTATTGCACTGCATTTGTATCATGATTATTCATTCGCATGTAATTTAACTATATTTTCGGTTCGACGTTCAATGCAGCTCGTTACGAGCAAGAGCAGAGAATACGGCGATAGAGTTTCAATAAGTTTTCAACGCGAAATTGAAATCCTGCGAGCTGTGAGCGTAAACTCGTTACTTATTCGTCCGGAAGCGCCGTAACAGCGTTGCGAAACTTTCGGTCGGAATGGCATGGCGTGCTATATCCTCGATCGTTTAGCTGGACCCTATCGCACACGTTTCCCTCGTGGCTTGAAACTTGAACTGTCGCATCGCTATGTCGCGTAGCGTTTATCCTTTAATTTATATCTCAGCATCGTGTTCGTTTACCGAAATCGCGTACAGAGAAGACAAAGGCGAAGTAAAACCAGATGCGGCTTATTTATAACTCTGATTTTGCCACACATTTTCTTCGCGAACTCTCAAACATACTTATATACCATTTAAAATTCTTGATTTAAAATTCTTTTTAGAATATCATATAATTACATTTGAATATTTTATCTTTCTACATATATCGTTTGAAATATAGTATACATTTAATTTAGTATTGAATTTTAATTTTAATTAAAATATAGTATTTTAATATTTCTGTAAAATACAATTTTAATTAATTAAATGTTCCGATATAGAAACACAAAATAATATCTGTGATATATTTCAAATTATATGCACACGTGACTAAAAGATATTAATTAAAAAAACGACAGAACAAAATGTTTGAATGTCATTAAGCTCGTAAAGATAGCTGGGAATTTATCGGAGAAAGAATAATAGAAAAATAGAAATAGGAACAATGTAGAATCGTGTATCGAACAAAGTTCTCGTTTCATCGCTGAACTTCTTTATCTTTATCTCTTCCACGTTTGCGAAGTTATGGATCGCGCAGTAGGAGAATCACGCGTCTCCGTTTTATTTTATTAATGGAGCCGTTTTTTGCCAATAGCACGTGACCGGCATGATACCTGGACGTTACACGTGCAGTGTGTGAATATTTCCTTCCCAATGCACCGTGAATCTCAGGTGTTTCGTACTTTGTTAGCGGTGTTCGTCGGTAGTTTAAAATCACTGGTACAAATATCGCGATAATCGAGCAGTAGATTTTTCTATATACGGCAGCGACATTTTTGTCTGATATTTTCTAACAAATAAAACAGAGATAAATATCATGAAACGAAATGTCGCTACTGCTTCAGCAGCTTGAAAAAGATTCACCGTCACCGGTTCTAATACACCGTTGCTGGCGCATCGCACTACAGTGATGCTTGTGTAAATTTGATCCGGCCTGGAACAGGAGACGGCGACACAAAAGCTCGTGAAATTCAAAAATGCGAACAAGATTTTTTTTTTTTTCCTCTCCACTTGGTTCTCTCTTCATCGGCGTGTAATATCTCGTTCATGTGCGTGGATATTGGGTTTGCGTTGGCTTTAAACCGAAGTTGCAGACGGTCGAGAGAGCTGGTCGTATCGTATTTTCATGAGAGCTTTCAAAGGGCTGTCCTTTTTGGAAAAATGTTCGCGCGTGGAAGGTAAATCAGACCGACAGTTGCGAGGGATAACTATAACCGTCGCGTCCACATTTTTGCGAGTCGCGTCCGCGGCATGGTAAATTCTTACTGTGAGAATTTCGTGAGGAGATTGGTTGCGTTCAATGACGCGTGATAAATCTTCATTCCACGGAATACGACATTATTGGCTTTTCTCTATGGCACACAGCTAAATGGCTCTCCTCGGACCGCCGGTATATCGCCACGCTGCGAGATTACGCGAAACGGTAGTCCTCGCTCGGATAAACATGCATATTTTCAGTTATTAAAGATAAAAATATTTTGAGAAGAAAAAATTAATATTCCATCCACGTGTAACGTTTATAATTATTCATGATATTTTAACGAAACAAAGAACTCGGTAAGCAAAATGTTTGTAATGTTGGTAGATTGAGAGCAAAAGTTCGATCAAATCATTGTCAATATTTGATTAATCTGGGAATATCAGAAACAGTATTCCTTTCAGTTAATATTGATTTAATGGTATTTAATTGACCAATATCTTTTTTCTGGAATCATGATTTTACAAAATTGCAATATATATAAAATAAAAGAGAAATTAATATGTAATATATTAATTATATTGAAAAACTGCTAATAATTTTTGAATAATAATATAACTTAAAAAGTTTATTATATATACAGCTTGACGATTATTAAGAAACTCTAATCGATAGATATAAGAAAATGCTGATTTAAAAAATTAATATTCATAAAGTCACTAATTTAATTTTCGATTACATGGAATTAATATGACACACAGCACAATATTTGACTACAAGCAGGGTATGATGTGTTTAATGATTGTAATTATTAAATACAAATATACATATCATCCATATACATATGTTCTAACATCAAATATATCGAATGTTAATTCCATAAACAGAATCAATGCATTTATCGACTTCTGTGTGTACAACGAACACGTGTACACGTGTTGTTTTGTCGTAATCGCAAAACGATCGCAATTTCATATCACGTAGTTGGTATCTCATTTGCCTTTTGCGACGGGTTTTATGTATCAAGGCGGAAAACAGGGACCGTGTTTATACCGGGAAAATAAAAAAAAATCGTGTCAGCGGAGTGCAATGCCTGCATATACGCACTTGTATATATATACTTATTTTATTTACACAGAAATGAGCGTAGCGAAATAACAAAATATATCGCAATTGGGTTCCAGGTGGGACCGAAGAAACGAGCATCTCATCCTAAAGGGAACAGCGGGAGAAGGAAATATGGGAAAAGGGGACAAGAGAGGTATCGCACAGCGCAGTGATGGCGGTGAGTCTGTTCTATAAACCGTTTCTATAAAACGTAAAAGTGGATGAGTAACAAAAGGAAAAACAGAATATAACACACTTCAACAAAAATAACAAAATATCTTTCTTGATATCTAACAATTTTACATTATTATATTGGCAAGCAACAATCTTGACAATTTTTTATTAATTGAAAAAGATTAGCTTAGTTTCAAAAGAATTTTTAAAAAAGCATCTAGAAAGACATCTAAAAGACGATATTTTAGGTAATATTTTTTTTAGAAAATTGGAACAGAAACAAAAATATTTTTAAAATATTCATAGTAATGAGATAAAAGACACAGATACTTACGATGATATGATCTACACTTATGCAGAGTGTATCTGTTTTAAAATATTAGTCGTCTACAATTAATCCTCGACTAGTAATTTCTGTTTTTGAGTTCTACACTGCCACGCGAATTTTGTAATTACATTTGAAAATTTAGTATACTTCTTTTTATAAATACACAATTTTGAAACAAGTATTTTAATCAAGATAATTATGTTATTATTATAAACATTATAATTTGGCATGTATATCAAACGAATATTGCTAAAATATGTCTTTATATGCTTTTTCTGCAATTATGATGCCTTTTGCGAACCAAGTATCTCTTTTAAAAATGCGAGATTTGTACGATGAGATTAAAACCACTTGCTCTTTCGCCGGAAAATCGTTTCCTTTGTTGCTATTTCTGGCGGCGATTTGCGACATACACGCTTTACACTCAAAATTGCAATCAAAGGGAGCCCACGAACCGGAAACGCGCTGCCACGCACGCAGAGCGATCAGAGAATGTTTGATCGAACGCCTGTCGATCGAGAACTAGCTGAAAAGTGACATTGAACGATCGGAATTTCGATACGCGAATATCGCGGCTCGTACATTATCGACGTTATCTCGCGAAAGGAATAGCACATGTCTGTATGCGTGTTACGGGGGAATTGAATCGAAGGAGAAACAGGGCGGAGAGACCACAGATACTGTGTATATTTGCGCTTCCACCCTTATTTTCCACTTTCTCGATACGACGACGACTGCCATGTCGTCGCTATGTTACCTGTCGTTGTTTGCTCGTTGCGTATTTGCGACTACTCGTAGGAGAAGATACCTCGATACCTCGATACCGCGCGCAAGAGTGCTTGCCCTCTTGGCTGTGCACACACTCATGACATTGTTGCATCCCGGATTTCGGTGCAATCACATTTCCACTTGAGCGTTATTTGTTTCTCGATTTTACATGTCAACCATTTGTTGAGAGAATTATGAGACCGTAATTCAAAGTGAAAGTAATATAAATCGAAATCTAAATTCTTGAATGACTTACGTAACAACCATGAAGGTGATCAATTAGAAAGATATTACGGATGATTAGTTAGTTGTCAAAATTAAAAGATGATGATAGAGGATGAAATATGAAGGTCAGTAAAAGGAGAAAAAAACTGCAAATTACAATAAATTCCAATGTTTAAGTGCAAAAATATATAATTACGAAATTAATCGTGACTTAATTTTGTACAAAAATTACTAAGTATAGGTTAGTTGTAAAGATTTTATCAAAGATGCTATGAAGTGAATTGCAAGGATGTGAAAGCAATTAAAAGAGAATAATACTCGAATTACGCGAATAGTTGCAGATGCACATATTCACGAACAATGATGTATGGCGGATTTCGGCACAGTTTTACATATGAGAGAATCTGGAACGCTTTCCGGCGCTCGCGCTATTCGATTTCGCTCGTATTCTACAAATGGGAAGGGTGAGGAAAGAGATGATGCATCTCTCCGCGTTCGTGAGTGCGATGATAATATTCGCAGCAAGAAACGCTAACGCGACCCAAGATGTATTAATCAAAATCGGGGTAATAATTTTCTTCTCAGCAAACATCAGCTAAATTAATCAGCTAGATTAACCAATAATAATTAAAATATATATATAAATCTTCTACATACGTGGTGTAAAATTTTTTACATTGAAAAATACGAAATTATGATTTATGATGATGCATTTCCTGACGTTAATTGATTACATAGTTGTGACGAGAGATCAATTAATTAATTTTAAATAAACTAAATAATAAATTTTGCCTTTAGCATGATAGGGAAACGAACGATTTAACTCGATAGCTTTAAATGACTATGCGCAATCCAAAATTGCACAGAATGACCAAGAAAATCGTTCGGCACTCAACGCGTTAGATGACTCTTTTAGCGGAACAATACGAGCGGCTCAACAAAAGCAACATGTCGACACAAAGGTGGCACGTATACACGCGGGTGGGCCGTTTGTCACTTCAGGTACACGCTTTTCCAGCGCACGGCATCGCGCGAGTTATCTATTTGCGCGCGGATGCATCAGACCGACGACAGAACGTTCGTCCGCTTGTTGTTCGCTAAGTTGAGACAAGAAGATGAGAGATGAGGTCGTGAGGGAAAAGGAAAAGAAAGCTTTTTCGCGTTGTGAGTCTCGTTTCAATGAAAAGAAACTGTTGCATTTACGTCGCTCAATTCGTATCGATAAAAAATAGCGTGTTCTTTTAACCTTTTGAAAGTGCCAAGCAGCGAGACGAGCGTTTCTTTTGTTTTAGCCTAAATGCGAGTGGATTCTACCGTAATTAAGTTTATTCTTGGTTATCATTGTTTCAATACAAACAAATTAATTTAAAGAAATAGAGAATAGAGTAAAAAAGATATTAAAAAATGTACATATTCATTTATCTAATACAACATTTAAGAAATGTATATTACAAACAACAAACTCTTTTGGATAATTGGCATGTTAAATATTTTCGCAATTTATGCTTGTCAAGGCGTAACGCAAAAAACCTTTTTTATGTTTCGCACAAATTAAATTTGATCTTTTGATGTGATTATTATTATTAATACAGACTATACATGGTTTTAAATTACGTCCTGGTAATTTTATTAAATCATTTTTTTCTGCTTTTTTAGAAATTAATTTTTCTATTCTTGCTTTAATCCCGTTTTATTTCGGCAATATTTGACGCGAATTTAAAGCGCAATATTTTTTGTTACTGCAGTTTTCTTATAGACAATATACGAATTTATTAACAACATTTTTGTAAAAATATTAAATAGTTTACAACTGCATTTTAAAAATTTGATGTTTATCTAGATACAAAATGAACTGACTTACCGGTACGATGCGCAGCAGCGGAGTTGTTGGTCTGTAAAATACAAAAGAACATCCAGATTATAGCAACGTATAAAATAATTAGTATCTGAGAAATATTTGCGTACATTGAACTTTTTATTTGTCTTATAAACAAATAGTTAATAAAAAAATTATCAAGAATTTAATTGTTTGAAACAATAATAAATATGTAAAATTATTTATACAATAATTATAAATATTGTAAATGTTTTACTGAAAATTTCAAATATCTTATGTGATACATTTTTGCAATTAATAAGTAATAAATAAACGATAAATACCGTAAAGTTGCTCCGCCGATGTTCGATGCCCGTCCCGAGCCTGCTACTCTGCTCTCAGTATGGAAACACGGTTCACTCGCGATTCATTCGCAATTTATTCGCGAAAACCCGACTAAATATTATCGCGCGACATTTTATACGGCATTCCCGTACTTTGTTACATGAGAACAAAGATAATGCTTAGATATCTTACGGATACGTTCGACACTCTGTAGAAAACGATAGAAGGAAACTTGTAAAAAAATGATTTTATCTCATCGGCGTACTGATTTTGAAGGATAATTATAACGAGGACGTAGTAAAGATACAGTATGAAAGTAGTTGGGATGGTAGAAGCGATAAGAATAATGCCACGATACGCTTCGATACACGATTCGTCTTCGTACGAGTGTCGTTGTGCAAAAGACCACAGGACAATAGTGAAGACAAGGTCACGCTATTTTAATTTGTAAGAATACGTGAAGCGTACACGCTGATACATAACGCGAGAGAAAGAGAGAGGGAAGGGGTTGTTTTCGTCCTCGCGCTTAGCCCGAAGTTTCTCTCTCCCCTTTCTCGCGCTATGGATTAGTGCGCACATTCCACGCATTCCTTCAAACGAAAATCTGCGCGACCTTGTCTTCGCTATTGTCCTATAGTTTTTTGCACGGCGATACTCGTACGGAGCGGATCGTATCGGAGTGTATTGGCACGGTATTTCTATCATTCTTACTGCTTTCATACTACATTTTTACTTCTCCCTCGTTACAATTATTCTTCAAAATCACTACGTCGATGAGAGATAAATTTATTTTTCACAAATTTCCTTCCGTCGTTTTCTGCGGAGTATCGAACGTATCCGTATAATAATATCCGAGTATTATCTTTGTCCTTATGTGACAAAATACGCGTCAAGAGTGCCGTATAAAACGTCGCGCAATCATAATTAATCGAGTTTTTGCGAGTGAATCGCGAGTGAATCATGTTCCTATACTGAGAGCAAGATCAAATCGGGCATCGGACATCGGCGGATCAACTTTGTGGTATTTATCATTTATTTGTTCCTATTAATTGCAAAATATTTCACATAAGATATATTTGAAATTTTTAGTAAAACATTAACAATATTTAATATTTACAATTAATAAATAATTTTACATATTTGTTATTATTTCAAACAATTAAATTTTTGATAATATTTTTATTAGCTATTGGCTTAAAAAACAAACAAAAATTCCACGTGCGCAAATACTTCTCAGATACGCTGCTATAATCTGGATGTTCTTTTGTATTTTACAGATTAATTTTGCAGACCAACAGAACAACAACTCCGCTGCTGCGCATTGTGCCGGTAAGTCTGTTACACTCTATATGTATAATATTTTATCAGATTTGCCAGTTCCATCTATGAAACTATTGTATATAAAAATGATGGCTGAATTCCCATCAAAGATTCACCGGTAGATAGCTGTTGATATGCTGTATAATGTAATTTAAAAATTTTATAAGAATGCTCAACAACAGGATTAAACTTCGCGCATGGATCGTATTTTTCGTAATCCGATGAAAACATTCTTCATTATTCACCAGATGAAAAAATTTTTAAATAAGCTGAAACTTGTTTTAATTAAATATTTTTTGGAACCAAGATATATATCTCTAGAATTTTCAATTCAGTTTAAAAATATTGTTGGTTGTTTTATTATTCTCATTTCTAATAAGATCGCTATAAATGTCTTTATTTCTAACATAATAACGGGTTTTTATTCTTCCATTTTATGTTAAGTATTTATTTGTTATGAACAAAAAAATTTTTATTTAAATTTACTAGTTTCCATAACTATTAAAGTTCAAACAGAAGGAATAAAAAAAGGTTAAATAATAAAAAAAGATTAAGAAATGAAAAGGTTAAATGGGAATAATTATTGCTTTCGTTATCTGCTTGCTTAAATTCATTGATTGTATTATTTTTCGTGATTTTGAAGTCATTTTTGTATCTCTAAGAAGTGTATAATTTAAAAAATAATTAGAAAAAAATAATATGCTTTCTCAAGAATAAGTGATAGAAATCAAGTTAATCTTTCTGTTATATGAGAAATGGAGAATACACTAAACTGTACAATCGCATACGCGTTTCATAAGAGATTTTCTTAAATAATAAATAAAGCGTTGAATAATAAAACAAAAGAAGGAAAGACAATAATGTTTATTTCATTTTTTGATATGAAACACGAGAAGTACGATCGCGTTGCTTGAAATTTTCCACGTTCGTTTTTCGGATCATCTTTGAAAGTCCAATTCATTTATATGTTCTATTTTATATACCTTAAGGTTTACTTTAACATCAAATTAGATATCTCTCGCGAATTAAAGGCGTCACAAACTCCGACGCGAGTTTGATTTGTCCGTAATAGAAACGAAGCGAGTTGCGTGATATCAAGAGAATCGGGTGAGTTTAGTTTAATAAATTGCATTATCTCATTGCGCTGCACAAAGCAGATTGAAAGTCGGGGAAAAAGGCAGGCGAATAAATACAAAGATAAAACGGACGGAGAAAGTGCATCTTAGATGCGTATTGAGATAGACGTAGAGAGAAGACAATAGCCTCGGGGATGATTCTCGAGTATGCTGGATGCGCACCTGTCGTCGACACGTTGTCGACAGTCGAGTTCGTCGACGGTCTGTTATTAGGGTTTACGTGTACGTGTAACGAAACTTTAGACAGAAGATCTCTCTCTCCACCTCAGCGCGAGATGATCTGCGCTATGTATCACTGACAAGTCACTGTAACGTATATCGTAACACGCCGCGAGAATGCTCTATCTTGAATGTGACATCTTATATCTTTATTTATTACATTTTATATGAGTGGCTAGCTTTTATTTTTTTCCGTAGAGATGCTTATCTTTTAATTTACGCTTACATCTGCTTTCTTTTATTTATATTTTTATGAAATCTTAACTGACTTTTAAATTACATGTTTAGGAACATTCATACTTTCTTTATATGAAGAACGTTGAAAAGATATGAATTATGAGAGCAAAATAAAAGGCTGCGAGTGAAAGATTACTTTTATTAGAAAAAAATAATTTGAGGCTAAAAAATAATTTTAAAGTTTATACTTATTTTAATATATTTAATAATAAAATGCAATACGATAACAGATATTTAAAATACAAGGGAAAATGCCAGATACTATTATTTATTATTATATTTACGAATTACAATACTCATATAACAGAATTTATGATGTAAAATATTTTTTTTTATTATCTGCATATTGATGAAGGAAATACTCTTCGTAGGAGAAAGAACAATCTAAATGAGGGCAATACTTGTTTGCCTTGACCGCATAGTTCTGTACTTAAATATATCATCGTGATTAGCATAATTCGAGCACGAGTGCTAAAAGAAATAAATATGTTAATTATTACGCGTTTTTTTACTAGTGAGATAAAGCGTTAGTCATAAAACGTTAGTTGATATTTGCACGCGTTTATTAAAACTCCGGATATAGCAAACATACGCTATAGCTATTAACAAAAATTATATTATATAATTTTTTTTTTTTTTTTTTAACGAATTTTGATGGTGTAAATAGTCAAACTGATTGTTAAAATTGTCCAACGAGCATATATTCGGTTGTAAAGTGACATTTCCTATTTGTGGCGGAGTAACTCCGTGTCGAATACATCGGTGATTGCAATTAGCGCGACACGCAATCTCTATTACCAGAGAGAAATCTGAGAACGGCTATGCCGTATTTTTTACGGAATGTTTACCGATTCTAGCGTAGTACTGTTATTTGCATTTATTTTACAGTTGAAATTGCACAGCTATGTCTATTTTGTCACTGTCATTGAATGATATTAGTTGTCCACACATATTTGTGCTACATTCAAGTTACAAAAAATGCGAAATATATAAAATAATACGAAATACGTAATATATAAATCTAATTATATAATTTAATTTAATGTAGCACCAACTCCAAAGTGCAGATACTTTGTTCTGAATAAATATAGATGAATGGGTTAAAAAGGACAAAGTTGGCATTGCAAGAATAAATTAATAATTATTAAACGCAAATGTGCTTATTATATAAATTGATTAAAATATGTATTACGTAAAATGAAGTATATTTACTGAATTTTATAAGCAATAAATTTAAAAATTATGTAAATTAAAAAATATAAATAATCAACTATCTGATCAGATTATATATTTTATGACAAATCGTTTGAATAAAAATATGAATAACTGTTGTATTTTTATGGCATTTTTGGTTACATTTTCTGAAACTTTTGACATATAAAAATATTCCGTATCTTCTTTTAGTTATGCTTATGAGCTTATATATTTTAAGTGATAACTCGTGTTTGCACGTAGACAACAATGTGCGTCATAGACTATGTCATAGATTGCAAAAAAAAAACATACAGTAACAAAGACCATGTTCACTAAATGGCAGTGTCGAAAAATGGATGTATCGTTCTACTAACTCTAAAAATGGATGCAGATAGCAGTGCTGAATAGGATCCTATAAACATTCCGCTGAAAACCCCAAAATGACCGCTCTCAGGCTTCTCTTTCTATAACGTAAATGGTTACCCGCGTCAATAGCAGACTATTTGCTTTTACCTTACCACGTGTCGTGATGTAATGCGAAGTGACGCTTTTGGATTCACAATACAATTGATTGGATGGGAAACGTTGGCAAGCTCTTAAACATTGAATGGCCTCGTTATTGACAACAGCGCGAAACGGCGAGAAAAAGGGGGTTGCAAGATGATGGATAAATGCAACGCGATTGGAAATTTCGTCTATTGCCGAATGTCGTTAATTATTGTAAATGTGCGAGTTGGAAATATCTTATTCAAATGCGCACAACGAAAGTATCTTTAGTAGTTTGAAACTTGTAGTTACCACTTAAACAAAAAGATACTTCATAATGTCTTATAAAACTCGGAATTCATTTCTCTTTGGTAAAGATTTGTTGCAAATTCGTTTCCCGGCAGCATACTAGTTTTTAATGTCAGATCTGATTAATTTATGGTTCATTCTAAAATTGTGCTAAAATAGAGATTTTACAGCGGGAAAAGTTTTAATTTTTTAAACTTAATTTAAATTACAAAATAAATTATGCTTATGTAATTATCTCAAACTATATTTGCCTTCTCGTTGCAATATAAACATCCAATAATGGAAAACAGTTTGAAAAGAAATTACGCGCAAAATTTCTGTATATACATACCACGCGTTACATAATGTGTCCGAACAGGCGTGAAAATCTGCCGACATGTCAATGTCGCGACGAGTTATTGCGAGTTGATCAAGTTTCACATTCGTAACAAAGTTTGATTGTCGTGCGGAGCGAGAACATAGACAGGTGTTTTAGGTTATACAAATCCAAATAACTTTATTGCTTTTTCTCTCTCTCTCTCTCTCTCTCTCTCTCTCTCTCTCTCTC